CAATTTATACCATACATGGCTATTAAAAGATGATGCCTTGTGCTGAAGGCCAGTCATCACAGTGCTAAATTATTACTACAGCTGATACTCCATGTTTTACCCTTTTTTCAGCCACAAGGTACTCATGACCTTGTCAGTTATTCAACGTACATTCAGGTTATGTAACGACAAATGCTGAAAACACCCCCACAGTAGACCACCTGATGAAAAGAGTGAGGAATCTCTTATCCTACAGATGTTTCGGCCTGCCACCTGTATCACTTCCAGAGCAAGTGTGGCTGATATCATGAGGGACTATGGGAACTGTAGTCTGAGACATCTGGAGAAAGGAATGTACCCTAAGCCAGTCTCAGGAGAAGTGAGAATCAAATGGAAAAGAGAGACCAAATGGATATAAAGGATCACAGCAGGATTTACTGTTTCTGAAGCTAGTTACACATTAAGGTCTGTTCTGCTGGCCTCATCACCTTTCACTAAGAAATGGGTCATTGTGGTTTACTCTACATTCTAGATAAAACAAACCAAGAGAAATGGGAAACTTCCATTGCATGGAACTAGGAAGCAGACCAAAAGTTATCTTCATGACACATTACTAAATGCCGGCCCCCAAAGATGGTCACAGGTAGCTTTCTTTCATTTCATATTTGGGTGTAGATTCAACCTACCTTGCAATCTATCAAAAAAGACAAGACAAGACAAGAAAGTTAAGTTAAGCTAAGTTAGGTTCTGGGCCAGGTTTTACCATGGTTTGAATGCCAGCAGACAAGACAAGAAAAAAAAGTTAAGTTAAGCTAAGTTAAGTTCTGGGCCAGGTTTTATCATGGTTTGAATGCCAGCACCTCACAGTGACACTCCCCCCCCCATCATCTGAGGCCAGGAGAATTGTTTGTAGTGGGAGGAGTTTCCTCGTTGCTTGGCTCTGAGAGGTACTCAGAACCAGGTACCATGGAGAGATATGAGCAGAGATCCCAGGTTACTTCTTCCAGCCAGGCTTGGGTTGGAGGATTATTCAGAACCAAGCCCTGAGGAAGTTTCTGGTGTTAGAGAGTTGTGCAGCCCATGTCCAGGAGTGGAGAATGGAGGTGGGATGTGAAACAGTGAAACCCACCCTCACCCCCATTTCGGATAATCCAGCACTTAAAATGTATCTTTCACTTCACCAAATCATCAGGCTGGGCTTTTCTACCTAGCAACTTGTCTGGCTTGACGCAACCAGGCACTGTAAGAAAACGAGTATTGTGAAGACCTGGTAGCATTCCAGCCTTGTGGATGCACACACCTTTCCCGCTTTTTCTTCTGCTGAGAATTTAATCTATTCTGTTTAACCATGAGAAGATGGGAGAGTGGATGTGATCAATGTATATAAATATTTGAACATGGGAAAACCACAGCTTCATCGCATGCTGTTCAATCTTGCAGACAGAAGGCTAACAAGTTCCAGTACCTGAGAGAAGTAATTGGACAAGCTTAAAATAAGTGCATTTCCTCACAGTGACAGTAATTAAAACACCGAAATTGCTCACCAAAGGAGGTAAGGGAGGGCTTCCGATCGCCCGAAGTCTTTAAATGAAGGTTGGGTGCCTTCCTGAAAGGGGTGGCTTAATCGAACTGGGATGAGGTTCATGCCTGCAACTTGCAGCGCTTCCCGTCCCAAAGGATTTTAATACATGTGCCCTGCTTCTGAGGGATTAGGTTGTTGTTATTATACGCTAGAAATAGTTGTCTTTCCTTTTTTTTGGATCACCACTGCTCCCAAAGTCATAAATAATAAAACTGAGGGGGAGGGAGAAGACTATTTTAAAGCTCTTCTTTTTTTAACTGAAGCTATTTCAGAAATCAGCTATAAAAATCAAAACTCTTTTAGAATATAGTAGTTTTGGATGTCTACCAGAAACAGAAGCTGAAGAGGGATGTGGCCAGCTTGTCATCCCGTGTGTGTGTGTGTGTGTGGGGGGGGGGAAGAGTTCCAGAAGGTAGTTGGTGCTAGAGAAAAAAAGCCTTCTCTTGGATATTTACCAACCTCAGGTTGGTGAGGATGAAATCTAAGAACAGCCAAAGGAGATCATTTTCTGTGGAAGTAATTTAATATTGAGAAGTACTTAGAAGTTTGTACCAAGATTAAGTCCCCAAGTGTTACCATATGGTTGTTGTTTATCCCAGGCAAGGTTTCTTAAGATGAGTTGAGCAGTCTGCAAACAGCTTGTGGGGGTTGAGGGTTGGGCTGGAAGCTCTTCCCCGGGCAGAATTTTGGAATTCGTCACCCATCTCTTCAAACAAAGAATGGTCAAGCCATCTGCACCCCCTCTACCCCGCCCTCCACGATTGCCTTCTTTTGAAACTGGGTGTTTCTATTGGGCTGGCAGGGCAGGAGTGGGGAGGCAAGACAGCCGCATGGCAGACCTCCATCAGAGAGCTGAGATTAAAAATTTAGTTTAACCACTAAGTAAGGTCAATTTTGGGGAATAGTTTCTCCCCTCTCCCCCATCCCCACTCATCACAAGCTGTTTTCATACTGCCTTTCAACTCACTGTAAGAAAACCTGCCTGGTATGAACAACAACCATGCATGACATTTGGGACTTTATCTTGGTGCACAGACTGATGAAGACAAATTATCATTGAAAACCAGCTACCTACTTGATTTCTTTAGTGGTCCAATAAAGGTACTGCTGACTCCTATATGTGTGTGGGGGGTTTGGGGGGGAGGGACCACACAGCCATTTTCTGCTATTTCTTTTTTGAGAAGCTTGTAGTGAACTAGTAACTCCCACTCCAGGTCATTTTGAAAACCATTTCAGTTCGTCACCATATAGGTAAAACACAGCTTCATTCTCCCCTGCCAGTCCACTCTCCTCTTCAAAGATCTCCAGGTGGCCTCCCTTTATGGGCTTTCTCTTTGCCATGCCCATACCTCAAAGCAAGGCTTCTTTTACTCAGGGAGATTGGTTAGGATCAGTGAGATTAGTGGTGACGGCAACTGATAAATCTCAGTTCAGATCAACCCACTTCACAGTGATCTGGAACTAAGTTAAAATAAGGCTAGGCTTTCTCAGCCACAGAAAGTTGTATTCTGAGGATGTGAAAATATTTCGGTCTCAGATTTGTGGCATTTTGCCAACTCCAATCACTGTTGTTTTCAATTGGGTGTTGGGTTGTAAAACATCCATCTTTCTTCCCACCTGGAAATCCGTGTGTATCTCTCTGCATTTTTCCTATGTAGGCCCTTTTTAAGAACACATTTTCTTAAAGTATGTGATCTAAGCAAAATGGCCAAAGTGTATTTGTGAGCATTTTCCAAAGATACACATTTTGGTTGCTCACATTTATTTAAATAAAAATTTAAACAGGACAGAAGGAGGAGGAGGAGAAGAAATCAAAAGCTAACATTTCTCATTTCTAATGAAACACAAAAAGCCGCCTGTCAAATATCATAAAAGTGGTAAATTTACAAACAAACTTAGTAAATGAATATTTATTTTGCATCTCTAACACTTTCAGTTCGAAGCTTCATACCTCGTCTGGAAGCTGGTCAGCCTTGCATGGCTATACAGAAACCCAGCCTAAATTTTCATCCTTCATGCTTACCCTCTAAAACATCTTCCTTTACATCTGTACAATCAGTTTGTCCCATAGATAATGGGGGCAGGGACAGAACTCCCTTCCAATAATCACACTGTTTTACAACACCCCACAAAACAACATCAACAACAAAACCACAGAAGTCCAGCCAAGAATAGTATAATAATATTGGGATCAATCAGCATTTACAGTTTGTTGTGTGAGCATTTTTCAAATCACAGATAATGCTTCCTCAGACTGGGCCTCAATCTTCCTCCTTGCCTCTGCTTCACAACTGGCAAAAAGGATATTTCTGATGTTGTATTGTTGTCTTGCCTACAGTTAATGAAACACAGCTCTGAAGCCCTATTTAGTTAGAGGCATCTTTTGTGTTTTGTACAAAAGATCTCTCTTTAAGCGATGGCCTTCAGGGACATGAGGAGAACTGAAGGTTCTTTGCTTTGAAAGTAACAGAAGACAGCTGTCATCTGACAGCAAAGCATTAATTAATGTCCATCTCATCCATCCACAGCAAAAGCCTTGATATTAAGGCCAGTGCGCATTTGTTGAACTGAAATTCAGAAGCTACGACCTAATGAAGCTCAGTTGAAGAACCTTTTTACAGTCCCTCTTAAAACGTCTCACAGCCTGCACATTATCTAGATCCTATTTTGGATAGGAACACAAGGTGTTTTGCTTTTATTTTGTTTTGTTTTAGTGTCCTTGTTCACAAATTGGTGATAAGAGACTGGAAAGAAAGAATTAACAGCAGCCAGCAGGAATAGCCTGGCCTAATAAATGTGATGTCACAAGGACCAAGGCTCCTTATTTCTTCCAGCAAAGCTGCTTCAAGGTATTTGAGAACGGTCAGCCGAATGGGGAGATGATTGCTGAATTAGCAAATGCTACACAGAGTGGGCTTTGTCGGAGAGGCAGAGTTAATCTGGCTGAATGAGACCCAAATAGAAATTGCCCTGAGGAATTCCTTCCACCCTGGCTTTCAAAATTCATGAGCTACGAGTCCATCACACGCTGGCTAGATTAACTGATTGATTTAAGCCCCTCCTGACGTCACTCTGTGCTCTGGACATTGTGACCAGTGACATCCCACCCTTCCGGCTTTGTGAGACTATGGAAAATGTCACGCTCCTATCATTCTGTGTGTGACCTTTGCAGGCATCAAACAATTGAAACCCCTTTCCCATCCCCCAGCCCTCATTTTCTTAGCAAGGAAATAAATTGATTAAAGGCCAAGCCCGGTCCCTGCCGGCAGGCTGAGAGCTGCAGATGACACCAGGCCCCAAGGGCTTTTGCTACTGTAGGGATAATGACAGGCAGCAGCCTGCAGGGACCAGGCTCCAGGGGGGAAAAGCAGGAATGTTCTCTGAAACTTTAGAAACTCCTCCTTAGGAGTGGAAGGAGGACGACGGTTGTGATGTATACCTGTATTCCAGGGAGAATTTGGTCAGCTCTTTGTTGTCATGCAGCCATTTGAACTCTAGGGGCCAGCTGCCTTCTGCCATACAAGTCAGGACCAAGCGGTTCCCTTCCAAATGGACCTGGCTGCGCACCGGCTCTGTCTTGAAGTATGGGGAGACATCATCTGCAAAAGAAAGGAAAAAGAGTAGGACAGCCATTGAGTCAAACCCTCTGCTCAACAAGGAATCCAAATCAAAGCATGGGGTTGTTATGAAAGGTGAGCGTAACATAAAAAGGAAAAGCCTGTTAAGAAAAATCACCAAAGCCACAATTGGGTAATACTTTCACTGGGGCATAACAAAATGTCAATAAAATATTCCTTCCTCACAACTCTCCAATAGGGAGAATGTTACATGAAGTAGGAGTGTGGACAAAAAAGGTCAAATCACAGGCCGTAATATCCACATTTAGAGAAAGTATTGGCTTGGTGTTGCACTTATGACTCAGTAAGGAAACAGCAATAGCTGAACCCCACTTTAAAGAAGCCTCCAGCTGATTATTCAGATTTGGCTGCAAGCTTAAGCAAAACACAGGTTTTAGAGTCAAACTGAGCAGTGATAACTAAACTGGCAAAGTCTGCAAGCATGATTGTCCCAGATTACTTAATGATGGCAAATAAAAGGATCTAACCCAGTTAAGGGCTGTTTGTCCAGCCAACATTATCAGAGAAAAAAAAGAGTGATGTCTGGTTTCCATGGCAAAGTGCAAGGTCATTCAGATTCTGTTTCAAAAAGAAAACAAAGCCTTTGTTTCCAAATAAAGAGCCATTCTATATGTGATACGTATTGTATGCATAATGCATTTAGAGAAGAACAGACAGCCTGCTTATCAGGCAGCTCTACTGCTTTTATTCCATGAATTGGATTCCCTCTTCAGTTATCATCCAACGGAGCTGTTGTTACTCCCATAGAAGTAGAGCTGATGTACCTTCCACAACAGAAGTGGGTTAAGCTCACACCGGTAGATTCACACGTACCATCATTAAGCCTAATATAAAGCCTGTTCCAAATGCTGTTCATGAACTCAACATGGTTGGCTTGCAAAAAAGAAACCACCACCCTCACCTAGCAATGCTGGTAAACAGAACAAAAGATTAAAAATGATGTTGCTTTAAGAAAGGAATGCTATTGAACTGTGAGTAGGCAGAACCAAGAGATTCCTGTTAACGCTGGTTTTCCTTCCTGACTGGTGTGCCCTTCAAGCTCTCTGGGACACATGTCTTCACAACAACACTCCTGTTTGTTGGAGTGGAGGACAGAAAACACATTTTGATGAAGGTGGCCAGGTGGTCCACATTTACAAAGGACAGTCTTCCATATCAGGACCTGCCACATGGCAGTCTCTCCCTCTCTTTTTCTGTGTGTGAAGGTAACCTCTGTTTGAAGAGCTGTGCAAGCCTTATTTAAAAAGAACCATGAAGTGGGAGATTATGGGCCTTGAAGTTGACCATCCCTAGGGAACACCTGAGGGACAGCCTGATCAGGCACATAGGTCACCTGGTCACAGGTGAGATGCACTGTATTTGCATGCAATTCTTCATATCTGCATATAAATTAGCATATGCAATTTCATGCACATTGATCTACTCTTGCCTTTTGATGAGGTATAAGTGGCCACTCCATCTTTGTATGAGGCAATGACTCACACGAAGGAAGTGTTAAATGACTAACTATGGGATGTTGCTACAGCTAGAAGAACAAATAGCAGAATTTCAAGAAAGTGGGGAGGATGTAATGAGACAGGCTGGACTCATGTGAACCCCTTCTCCATACATCCTTAAAGTATTCCTGATCATTACACATATCCCTAACTTGAATAAAACTAACTCTTTTTTTTCTTGTGTACTTTTGGAAAATGTCTGTTTCTTACAAGCTTTTAATTTTAGAGCCCAACAGCTGATAGCTAGATCAAGCCAACACAACCTGCATCTGTGCCCCTAAAGTTTCAAGAACTAAAGCCACAAAACAAACCACAGCCTGTTTGTTATATCTTTATTTTTTTCTGCCAGCAGAGGAGAAAAAGCAAGCCAGTAACTTTGTCCCTAGCCTGCCATGAAAGTGTTGCTACTTCTCAATGAAGGAGACATACAAAGCTAATTTATTTTTTTGTATATATTAATTCTTTCAAGCACATGCAGACTTAAAAGCAGTATTTAATGGTAATGAATAAAATGTAAAGCACCAGCCATCTTCATCAGAGCACATCAGCAACCTTTCCTATGTGCCTGGATAACAAGAACAAAAAGAACTGGTACATCCACTGAAGCTGTCAAGCAAGGAGAGACATCCTGGGACTATCATCTCTCCTTGCTTGACAGTGCCTGGATAACAAAATGCATCCTTTACATAGTCTAAAGGAAATGCTACCACAAGAAAATCAGAAATTAAAATGGGAAAGCAGCTAAGGAAGTGATTGGGGTTACAAGTACTACTTTCTTCAAGTGAAGGAAAGGACATGTAACCCCTATGAAACATTGATTCGGCCTAAAAGGGCGGGACTAAGAAAAAGCAGGTCTATGAGTAAGAGATTTGAATCAGAAGGAGCTAGATAGCCAAAGAGGCTGGAGCTGGTATTGCCACTTGGGCTGTTGAGGGCCTTGCCCACATGGTTTGTATTGGAAGGGTGAATCCACATAGTGAATTCACGAATTGTATACAATTGAATCCATCTTTTATTTTAGGGTTTTGAAGATTCCACACATGGAGCTGATTCTTCTAGATACTGGACACCCAACCCAGATGCTGGACACCCAACCCAATTCTATGAGCAGCTTTTGCATTGGTGCTGTTGCCTAGGTCATGGGTATGCAAATGGTAGCATTTTGTTGTTATAATTTCTCATGTTGTCTGTTATATAACCATGAATAAAAAAAGACTCACTTTGTGAAGTTGTGTTTGCAAAGTTCTATCAGCAGATATTTGAGTATACAAATAGCCCCACAGAACCTAAAACTGCTTTGAATACATAGCTCTATTCTGCTTAAAAGTTTTAAGACCTTAACCAAGGCCAGCTGTGCTCTCATTCCCTGGCAGTAGTCTTCCCTCTTAATCCTCTTATCAGTTCCTGTTATTCACCTCTGCCATAATTATCTCACGCCCACAATTCACCAGTAATTGATCCAAACCATAACTTCCTCTCCTTAAATATTAGGTTGATCTACTTTCCCTTTCCACTGGCAAACACACTGTACCCTTCTTGGCTACTGCAGTTGCTAAGATGAACCAGAAAGTTCTCCTCTATTTTTGGCAGGTTTTTTAGAGCCCAAGAAGAAGAAAACAAGCCAATGACTCCCTGATCTGTGGTTTGGGCAGTGCCTTAATGGGCTGGGTGCCCTCTGTTATTCTGTTTGGTTGGCATGACTCCACAAACCATATGGAGCTAAATACAGTAGTTAGCAACCAGCTGACTCCCCCTGATGGCTTTAGGAAGGAATTTAAAGCCAACCATTCCTGTAAATGTGAACAGATGTGAATTTTAAAAAAGACACTGAATAAAAGATGGACAACCAAGGAATTGAACAACATTATTGGGCAAATGATTGTATTACACTATTGTTCTGCAGGAATACTTTTCAACAAGCAATGGCAGGAATGTGAAATATAAAGGCCCACGTAAGTACTACCAAGGAGTTTCTGCAAGGAGCAGAGTGTCTCGCTCTTGTGAATAAGTCCGCAAACCCGACAACATTTTTTCCACTTTTTATGGCAAACTGAGATCCTGGAGGTAGGAGAGAGCAAACATTTCCCCATTCAGTTCACAGTACATTTTCCTCAACTGCCATCTAAAGTGCATTACTCTTCATCATAGACAAACATACAACTTACTATCTCTCTTCAGGCATTTCATATGCTGTACATCCACTGCACAAAGAAGGGGGTGCTGTGGCCTCACTAACTTTTTCAGCATTTTCCCCACCTCCTCCATACAGAGGACAGCCATTTTAAACAGGGGAAGGTCTGCCATCTGTGGACCCTCTCCAAATGGGTTGGGAGTGTGGCCAAGAGTACATGGATGGGGAGCACCTCCTTATCGAGACTCATCACCCTTCATGTAGTAGGGCAATGAAATAGGGGCCAGTGCAAAAGTCCTTGCTTCTTCACAAAGTGAGTTGCATGTACATACACTGCATCTGAATAGGGTGGTTGTCTGAAAAATAAAGATTTTTTCCCTTTCTTGTTCCAAAATGGATACAACCTACTCCATGAACCAAGTGAAATCCTGATTCAAGAAGAAAACAAAACCATGACTTCACACATGCTCACGGATTGTACAAATTCCTCCTCATGTTAGATATATTTCCTATGGGAGAGGAGTCTGGGTATTATCATTGCATATACTTGCTAGGTAAAGGTATCTAACACAGAGACATATGCAAATTTGTACAGGGTTCTTGTTGCACACGTGTGCACACACATACACTCCAGGGAACAGAGCCAACCTTTTGCAATCTGACACACCCGTACTCCGCCATACCTGGCATTCTGTGCCATATTGTAGACAATGACACACTTCTGACCCTTCTGCCATCCCTGAAACTACCTGAGCCGTTTAGTAACCATATCAACAAGAGCTTTAAAGCCCATCCAGGATTTTTCTAAGCTGCTTTTGCTTCCTTTATTCCCAGCTGGTTTCTTAGCATTTTAAAACCGTGCTGGGCTTTTTAGGTAGAGGGTGGAAGAGGGTTGGAAGAGTTTGAAGAAGCAGGAAACAACAGAAAGCAGGGTCTGCCATTTTATTTGTTATATAAAACTGTACATTGAAGTGCGCAGCTTCAGTTTCTGTTTAACAAATAGAATTCTTTTCTTTTTACATCAAAAGCACATTCATATTTCCCAACAGCTTTCAAGTGTACTTTGAATCACATTATTTTTACACATACCATTTTTTTTAAAAAAATCCCAGCACCCGCCTCAGCTTTAATTCCCGGCATCAATTTGTTATAAAACAATAACATTCCAGGACCTGTGTGATTAAATTCTTCTTTTCATGAGGGACCAATTCAGAAAGTGGCTGGGGGCATGCGCACATCAACCAATGAACACCACACACATACATACACATACACATACACACACACACACAAGCAGAAAGCACGACGTTAAAAGGGTTTAAGCTTTCCAAGCC